AATGGGTCTGCATTCTTCTGATCAATTTTTACGATATTTTGAGTTTGGCCCACTGCACTCCGGCCCATGAGATGCACGGTTCAAGACCTTATCTTACACAAAAGTGAAGAGAATTTTATCAAAAATATGTACTAATAGCAAAAATTAGTTAAAACCGTGTGATTGTAATCGGCCTTCAAAATATCAAATGTGTGGATAAAAGAAAATTGAAAATTGTAAAGTTTTTTCTGAATGCATATATAGTTTAAAAATGGTTGATGTATTATTTTGTTGCAATTTTAACATATAATTTTAGAATAGGTCCTTAAAAATTATAGGTATTGGGGTTTATGTTTTCTCTAACATCTCCAACTCCTCACAGTTCAACCACTTACCATAGGCCTACAATATTTCAATATACAAGTGAAACAAATGTATCACTGAGTTAACATACTGGAATATTACAGGCCTACGATAAGTGGTTAAATTTTTTATTTAAATAACTAAATCTGAGCTCTTATTATTAGATTATTTATACATATTGGAAAGTTTATGCAACTTATGGCAAAATGCCACTCACACCTGATTTAATATTTGTATGTAACCTTAGTAAGCTTCAGTCTAATTGGATTCTGAGCTAAATTTATTTCAATTAAACACTACATTGACCAACAGACATTTGAAAAAGATTTTTGTTAATAAATATAAAACAACATATGAGAATTTGAATTCAAATTTAGAGCCTTTAATATTTATGATGGACGTTACTAACTTCATTGTATATGTTGACAATGACAGTGTTTCTAAATGTTTACACTATATATTTTGCAGAAATATTATAAATATTTGGTCAACATAAAATAATACTCAAATTAATTAATAAATCCTTAATCAATTATTTTATATTAAATATTAAATTTACAAAAGCTGCGTTTTACATCAAGATTTAAATATTTAAAATGTTTTAGCATCGCTGTTGAATTCAAGCATGGCGGTCTTTGTGTCACTTTTGTTTAATTTTGATATTTTTTGGCCAAAACATTACTGTTACTTAATGTTAGTTAATATGATGTGAAAATTTATAAAATAATTTAATAGCAATGTCGGAAAATGGCCTAGAAAATAACAGTGCCGAAGAAAACGATGATATGAAAAACCAAAACATTGGAAATGGACACACATCAATAAGTGGCAAAAATGACTGTATTGGATCTGACAATGATAATAATGATAAATTAAACATTTCTGAATCTATAAATGAAAAGAATGATATTGACAATGGTGCAGCCACCCTTGCAATCGATTGTGAAATGATTGTGAGTAAAATTGGTTCAGGATCAGACGACGATGAATACAAATGCAGAAAATGCCCTTTTACTTGTTCATCACTTCTTTATTTCCAAGCCCACGTTAAAGAATGTGGGTCTATTGCTAGACAGGTGCTAGACAAAACTGTTTTGGTGTGCAGTTTGTGAAAAGAGTTTCAATGAACTGTCTGATTTACAAAAACACATAGAAACTCATGACAACGCCAAAAGATACTCTTGCGATCACTGTGAGAAAACTTTTGCAACAAAAAGCTCAATGGTTCTGCATACTCGCATTCATACTGGTGAACGCCCTTATGAATGCGAAGAATGCCATAAGACATTTGCACAGCCCCAGAATCTATCTGCGCATATGAGGACTCATTCGGGTGAGAAGCCCTATGAATGCAATATTTGTGCAAAAACTTTTGCGTCTAAGAGTTATCTGAATCACCATAACAGAACTCATACCGGTGAACGTCCTTATGTTTGTGATGTTTGCAGTAAAGCTTTTGCGAGGATTGGGACTCTTTCTGATCATAAAATGTTGCACACTGGTATGAAATTGTTTAAATGTGAGTTTTGTCAGAGGGACTTTGCGCAGTCTAAAGGAATGATGAAACATAAAAGAAAATATTGTAAAATGAAACCACAAACAGAGTGAAAATAATTCAGTATTAAGTATAATTTGTTAATTAGTTTTAAAATGGCTAATAATATATTTGCCCAAATTACATACACTTTCGAGGATGAATGTGTTTATAAGATGTTAGTATTTTAATAATACACATTAGCACCCACTTCACATACTTTAATTACATTGTTTTGTAATCATTTATTTAGAATTATTGAAAATGTTCTATATATACTGACTTTTTAATTGAAATATTTATTTACTGATAAATATTTTAAAAAAAGGGAAGAACTGATTTTAGTATATATATATATATATATATATATATATATATATATATATATGTATATTATATATATGTACATAAATTGGTGAAAAATTGATTTGTTTATATTTAATCGACTACTACTTTGTGTATAGTAGTAATTGTTATCATAATTTTATTTTTATTATAGTTTACTTTAATAACTTACTTTATACAAAGCCCGAATAACGTATCTATTTTTTATATGTTTTGCTTATGAATTTGAACACTCGAGAAATAAACAATTATTTCAAACAATAGGTTCTAAATAATCATAATTTATTTGCGACAGCAAATTAATATGTATATAGAAAGCCCAAAATACCTATGTTTAGTACTGACGGATGATTTTTTAAATTATATGAAAAATAACAATAGAGAGAATTATAGTTTTAAAAAGTTATTGGTCTTTTACTTGCAAAAGTAGAAGTTGACATGTTTGTGTCTAGTTGCGAGAGTTTGTATGTGTAACCGAGAAATTTTTATTTTTTAAAACCACTTTATAATTATATTTGAAACCAGAGTTCTATTATTGAAGCTTATGTTATGCTTTATGATATAAGAACACTCATACAGATTATTTAAATTTTATATGAAATAGTTTATTTATTAAGTAATTATAAATTATGTATGTATGTATGTAAAATATTTATATAAACCAAGTTAATCATTGTACGACGATTAATTTTTGGACTGAATAGACTAAGGCAAAACATTGGAATTTAATTTTTGAATGCATCATTGCAAGATTTAGCTGTAAAGAAATGTGATCTAAGCTGAATAATAGTAGTATTTTATGTATGCAATGTTTTGTGTAAAAATATATTTGTACAGAATAATTATATATAGATTGTAAAAAATATTTAATATATTGAATAAAAAGAAACATGAGGACAAAACAGAAAAAATATCTGTTTTATTCAAGTTTCATAAATATATGTGTATATAAGTAGGCAATGTTTTTACTTATATTTATTATATCCAAATCGTGTCAACTGTGTTCAAAAAAAGAAGAGAATATATTTAGATGTAGGTATATTCAAATTGAGTAAAATGTATTTAAGAAAAAACGTGAATATATATATATATATATATATAGGTAGGCTAAGGTTTTACCTTGAAATTTATTATATTCAAGTCAAGTGAAATAACTTTGAAAAATTCTTATAAAAAGTATATTTTGTCCTATGAGCTGTTGTAATAATACTACCCAATAGTCAAGTATACTGATTACTACTGCTTAATATCAAGTTGTTGGAGACGAGATCTTGGTACCTTTTCTTTGAAAGACCGCTTTTATCCCTGAGCCCAAAATAAAAAATAAATCATATCTTGTATGAAAAATAGGTGTAGAACCTATTAAACCTAAGATGTAGAGATCTTGATACCTTTCTCTTTGCAAGACCAAAGCTCTTATCATAAAGCCACGAATAATTTCATAACTAATTTGAATACTCTTTTATATTACAATTCATAGATGAAAATTCCTTGATATTGATATTAAATAATTTGTAAATATTATTTAACAAGAATTTACCTAAATTTTAAGGTCTACTTTGTTCCAAAAATCTATCATACAGATATTTGTTCAAAAACTAGGATCGTTTCTGTTAGATTTTCATAAAACTCTATTTTAAAAATGTTCCCTTTATTTTCATTATCAATTCAAATAATTTTCTGCGTTTTCCGTGGGTCAGTGGTAAGAGCTTCGGTATTTCAAAGAGATGGTACCAGGATCCCGTCTCAGACAGCTTGGTATCAAGCAATAGTAATCAGTATTAAGTAAATTGTAATAATAAAAATATATCAAATGTGAAAGAGTTAACTATTAAAAAGCTCAAAGGACAAAGTATTCACATTTTTTTAATGCATTTTACTCAATTTGGCTCATTTGTAAATTTCGCTAAATTTTGATACAGTTTTAATTTCAATGGGTTAATTAGTACTAATTTTTACATTTTTTTATCAGAGTATTATTATTATGTTATTCAATAAATACACTTCCTACACATTATTCAATATAAGTATACATCACACGCCGAATATATACCAGTATGTGTCTTATAATATATTAATTAAGTTGTATAATTAATATATCCGCCCAAGTTAATACCATCGATTCGATAAGATAAAAATTCTGCTATTCATCAGAGATGGATAAAGCAGATTCGAATTTAATTCAAATATATAATCCCTTTTATCAACCAGCAACGCATAGATAATGTCATAGATAAAAGAGATAATGTATCTAAAGGTGCGCAAAGAAATTATTGGACAAAATGTGAGAAATTGATATTTGCAATCAGTAAAACGAAAAGGAAAAATACTTAAATCGTTATTGTAAAAATTATTCTCAAAGTAAAAATAGTCTAGACGTTGTGAATTATTTAAAGCAGATTTTTTTAAAATTATTTTCAAAAAAAGACCTAGCTTCGAACAAAGAATCCAAAAATTAATAAAGAACAAACAAGTTTTTTTAAAAAAACATTTCTTTATGTATTTACTGTCGACGTTTCGGAACTAGGTAAGTTTCATCTTCAGGACATCTGTCAAGAAACATTATCTTGATAAGATATAAGCAAACAATATGTTTAAGAAAAGCAAAAGATGATAGATTTTTTATATATAAAATGAATAATTCAAAAATCCATCATCTTCTGCTTTTCTTAAACATATTGTATGCTTAAATCTTCTCAAGATCATGTTTCTTAACTGATGTCCTAAAGATGGAACGTATCTGGTTCCGAAACGTCGACAGTAAATAAATAAATAAATGGTTTTTTAAAAAAAACTTTGTTTAAACATCGCTAATTCTTGTTGTCAAGCTATCAAAGACAGGATTAGAAACTGAAACCTGTGGTTCCAAAAACAAGCTCAAGGCTGTACAATAAATCGGCAAAGACACAAAACGAAATCGGAAATAAACCTAATAGTTGTTAATAGTCGAGAAACATTGTCCACATATGTAATTAATATAGTTAAAAAAATCCTCTTGACTACATAATGAGCAAAGTTTTGTAATTTAAAAATCCGAATAACAAATTTCTGTGGACCAATGGTATTAGCTTTGACCTTGCAGCCACAAAGTTCCTGGTTCTATGAAAGCCTAAAACCTTATATCAAGCTTGATATAAGGTTCTAGGCTTTGTCACTACTACTAGTAGTAGTGACAAAGGTTTTGACTTGAAAATATAGATCTAATTG